ATCTTCATATTCTGAATATTTTCTTTCACCCTCCTTTGCCATCCTCACCATGAACATGCCCTTTTCAGGTATTACTGATAGGAGCACATCTAAGCTTATTACTCTCTGCAGTCAGCTCCACTGATTTACCCTTGTTGAAGAGTGATAGTTGCCCATGGTGGGCTGCTATCCCCTATCAATTAATAGAGTACATTTGTCAGCTTCTGGAAGTGCAGTCTATATGGCTACATGAAAGGAAATAATGGCTTTTTTCAGCTTTCTACATTTTGTAATACTATGTGTGGAATGGAAACCATCCTCACATGATTGCAACCAGGAACACGAGACAGGAAAAACTAAGCAGTCAATGTCTGTATATCAGTCCTGGATGGAAAGGAAAATAATCAGCTTCTAAAATACATCAGAACTGAGGACTTTTCCCTTGGTACTGGAGAAAAACAGTTTTGTTCCCAGGTTTTTACTCAGGACAGACTGTAATTACAGAGCTAACACTTAAGTAATTTTAATTGTGTGCCCCCAACAGAGTAAGAGGATTTTGTTATTGTGCTTTGACTGACATGGCTGAGATAAGTGTTCCTTCACAATTACACTTTCTCTTGTTGGTGTTGTCACTGAAACAGAGATGGAGTTGAGTTCAGTGGCAAAATTACATCAATAGGTTTACTTTCTAGGGTTCTGCATATATTCATATTTGATTTAAATTGAAACTAAAATGCATTCTAAATGCTTAATAACATTGGTTTGACCCCCAATTAGGTGATGCGTGTCTGCAAGTAACTGTGAGATACAGCATGTTTTCAGGGTTTCATTATCTTCTCTTTTCCAGTCAGTCTCTCCACTACCTGCTCAACAGACAGATGAGTCTCTTATCAGAACTAGCAGATGGCAGAGCCAGTCGGTTTGAATTTTCCAACATGCACTCATAAAACATTTCTGCAAATTTTGTTAAAGTGCATTATATTACAGCACAATTGGGAATATAAGCAAACGGATAGCACAACTTCTGTTCAGGAGTGTATTTTTAAATCTTGTCACAGAGTTCTGTAAAGCAAAGAATATTCTGTAACTCAAAGAAAGCAGACTGAATATTCACTGACATTGTCTTCAGTCCCCCTCATTTCAATGACTGAGTTCAAAGGATGAATCACGGATTTATCTTAGCAGTTTTTGAACAGGGGAAAAAAGTTCTCATTGATTTACTGAGAACTTAATGTTTGTTAAATGAATCAGACCACTGTATAACACTGTATACTGTAGAATTTCGACACACGCCTGAAGAAAAAATGGACTGAATGGTTAATTAATGGATAATCTAAATATGTAGTTCCTTGGTGTTATACATGTTTTTTTCTGTAAAATTACATTAGCTTTATCCTGTTTTCCAGGTGAGAACTGAAAACAAATTAAAATCACCACCCGCCCCCATCTTCCTCTTCCCCCGGATAAGAACAGAGGAATGGGGATGGGAACTGTGATCAGTCCAGAACTTTTCATCTCTCAATTTATTCCTAAAATAAAAAATGACTAACAATCAACAATCAATGTTATGGAACGCCCTAGAATAAGATCTGTTCATTTAATTCCATACATTCCATTTATGATGTTGAGCTGGTTAATAAGATTAATAAAGAGCCAAGATTTCTTTTCAGATATGAGTATATGGAATGTGTCTCACATCACAAACATGGAACTATACAGTACATATTAGAAGGAAGAATTTAGTTATGGACACATACAAATGAAATTATCCAAATTAGACAGACACATTCAAGAACATTAGGTACTACAGATCCATTTTTAAAGAAATATTCATGCAAAATAAATTAAAAAAGAGATTTGTATCCTAACAAATAAATATTTTTTTTATCAGTGTTCTTTTCAGTGTAAATATGTACAGCTCTATAATACCTTGTAAATGGAGAAAGAATATCAGAAACCATATCTGTTAAAAAAAATCATTTTTATTAATGTTTTCCAATTTCCTGACACACACACACAAACACACACACACATATATATTTATTTCATCAAGATGGTTGCGAAACTTAGATCAGAATTTATGTATATTTTTTGTTGTACATCTTATTTTATTATATGACAGATAGATATTTGTAATAGTACCATTTCTATGTTTAGGTTTCTGAATTCCAAGAAAATACTTGTAGTTTTATAATATTTGTATATTATATAAAATCATATATATTTATAACTACCTTGCATTTATACTGTATATCTAAGATAAAGCATCATCAACAACATATTTATTCCACATGTATTTCATATTATAATGCCACTGGGCTGTGAATTACAGGAGAGTAGCTGGCATATTTAATTATTTAATTCTCATTTTTAAATATATTGGACAATTCATTATTTTTCAGATCATTCTTAAAGTATATTAAGAAGGGATTACACAGGAATTTAGAGATAGTCCCCAGTTTTAAAAATCCCAGTACAATTTAACCATTACAAAAAGAAAAAAGAACAAATCAGTATTGATGAATATGTTGTTCTTACAGAGCAGTCCTTTATTTTGGTAACAAATTCTACTTCAAAGTTATCTTGTATTCAAAATTCTTGAGGATAGTTCTGATTCACATAAAAAATGCACAAACAAACCTGATATGAAAACTGAAATATATTAATAGTAACTATCTACATTAATAATAACTATCTACATGTGCGACCTGCTATAGGGAACCTGCTTTGGCAGGGGGGTTGGACTCGATGATCTCTGGAGGTCCCTTCCAACCCCTACAATTCTGTGATTCTGTGATACATTACTTATGACTTATGGTGGAGTTAATGTATAGAAAAAAAAAAGGGTATTAAGCAGAGTGCATGAAATAATATTCAGATTTTGTATTGATGGGTAAGACATAACTGTTAACAGATAAGATACGCACTGCATTACCATTGCTATACTTCACACGACGCTAGAACATACAGGGCTCAATTAAAGAGCTTGATCTCTGAAAAAAAGTCACAAGTTGCCTGATCTCAACTCCCCAGTCACCCTTCCTCCCTCCCACCTCAAAGTATTTTTGCGTCCTTTATAGTCATGTTACTATGCCGTACTCTTTTAGAACAGAGGGAGCTTAAAATAAAAAATAAATACAAATAAACACACAAAAAATCTAGTGTTATGAGAAAAGCATTGCAATAATATGCTCAAATAAACAGATAGACAATGCTGAAAACACTAGTACTATGATTATGGTATATCATCAATTCTAAGTAGTAATAAACTCAATCTCTCAATGTGGAGTTCTGGAGTTTTTAGTCACAAATCTGTAACAAACTTACAGTGCTGCTATGAGTTCGTACTTTTACTGAACCTATTTGGTAGATCAGAAAATAGCATATAGTACTGAAAGAAAGTCAGATTTCAGCTGATTTTTGTCCAGGGTATGTTTTATTATCCTCTGTAGAGAAATTGTTAGAAATAATTTAAGCTGTGTAAATTCTGCCTTCCTTTACTTCAATCTTGGAAAAAGCTTACCTGCTCTGTCATATCTTTGTTGAAAATTACATCTGAGATGAATATGGATGGAAGCAAACAAAAAGATAATCTCAGACCATAGCTGTCCATACTCATAAAATGATCTTGGGGGATTTCAGTCTTAGTATATACTAACAAGATTTTGTTTTCATCAGCTCCTTTTGTTTTTTTCAAATATGAATCTAAATTCCACTAAAATTACTCTCTTTTCTTATCAACACAGGAAAAATATCAAGCGAAGTGTTATTTGTGTGTATGTGTTTTTAAGCTGTGTGTTTCAGTGTTGATAAGCAGAGATGCAGTGACTGATAAAAGAAGAAATATAAGAAATGATGTTACTTGCTCAGACATTTCTAAAAGAAACCCATAGCTTTCAGGGTAAGATCATTAAAAATAATGTTTCATAGTAATTGAAGAACTTGAAATTATAAGTTTCGAGAAATGCATGCAGTCAATTACACTAAGTAAAATAAAGTCAGTGTCTAGAGATGATAGTTGTAGTGAGACATAATTTGTACACATTAGATTTAACTAATTTGTTATGAATCTTAGAGATACAACAACACAACAGGTGATACACATTCATTTTTACATTTCTACATAACTGGCTATGTTGTAAGCACTATTATGAGAATAGACAACAAAATCAACAATTTCTTTGGTTGCTTGGGCTGTGTAAATAATTTGAGAGCCCTAAGTAACATCATCCATACACTATGTGTATTTAATTCTACTGTGAGATACTATCCCCTCATAAATTTTACATTATTGAAATTTATATCTGCAGTTGATAGGACTGTATATTTAAATAATTGGAAAGATCATTCTATATTCACTGACTTAGATTCTGCCAAGGCTACCTAAAATATCATCTTGATGAAATAAGCTGTAGGAAATTTGCTATCCAGTCATTATTGATCAGAGAACTGAATTTATGAACTCTCCAAGCAGCAATAGGTGAAACATGAAAAGTTTCAGTAACTACTTGATTATCTCAGAAAGACCACAAAGCTTCTTGGGCATGAAGTATTGGGCTTCTTTAAATAAAAGTTATCAGACTATTCAGCACAATATATAATGCATGACAATTCTACCATGATACCGACCTTGATGCAAAGTTAGCAAGGAAAAAAATGATAAGAAAAGAGTAATAAAGGAGAATATAACTCGGTGATACTTGAGGGAATTAAAATTTATACCCCTAAAGCTGCTAAAATTCCAGGGGAAACAAAACATTTATTCCACCATCCTACATACAGATTAAATATTCTAAACCTGATTCAAAATTTAAGTTTTGCTGGAGCAAAAGGAATGATATGTGACTGAAATAGATAAGCTATTGGTATTTGCTGCCATGTGTTTAAAAACTTAATAGATAATAGATATATCTATTATAATAATAAATAATTGATATATTAATAATAATAATAATAATAGATATTTATCTTACTGTTTCTCACACGTACAGTGGGAAAAACATAGGCCTGCAAAACAGGCTTTAAATACTCTTAGGATCAATAGGAGACTATATAATAGTGCACACAGAAAATTTGTTTTGATACATATTATATTAGATTTAGGCAAATTTCACTGCAAGTCTGTGTGAGATTATCTCTTAGTTTGCAAAGTTAAGGAAAAAGGCTGGCAAATGGCAGTGACAATATATAGCTATTGGCACTGCACAGAGTTACTGTTCTATTATGATGACTTGAGTTTTTTTCTTGTTTGATGGAAAACTTTGCTTTGATCAGCAATATGTGTATCTTTACCTCTTACAGAGAAATACAGTGGATAGTAGTGGATATTTTTATTGCACTGAGTTAATGAACAATACTATCAACAACTATAGTTCTTACTATTTAAATGCACTAAATGTGATGAACAGTTCATTCAGAATTCCAGGCTATTATAGAATTGTACTTTCAAAAGAGTGTCTGCAACTCAATAATAACCTAGGCAGTAATTCATTTTTTGACCCTTACCATTTTTTCTTCATTTAAGTCTTAACATTTGTCATAGTAAATATTATCAATTTCAGGTCATTTGATAATTTTTTGTGTATGTGAGATAACACAAAAGAATTTCAACTCAAGAATGCAAAAGATGAAGAAGAGTATTGATGGTATTTGATTATCAGAATTAATTTAGTTTCACTAATTAGCTTCATCACCTGACAACATTTTTGCTAAAAGCTTTTTCTGAAGACCAAACATGGAACAGTAATTGGAATATATGGAAGTTCTGTACAACTCAGTAATCAAAGGTTTATTTTTAGCTGAAAACTTTGGCTTTTCTGAAGTTTTTGCCTCCAAATGTGAATGCCTTTTTTTTCTGTAGGTGAGACTGGTGACACACAGATGGAACTCATTATCTGCAGTGCCACATGCTGCTCAAGAGAAAGTTTAATGAGGGTGAGAAAGTGGCTGAGACTTTTACCCATTGTCTTCCATCACTGATCATCATGACAGCTTCAGGAGGTGTCACAGCTAATACTGCTTCTGCAAGTGGAGTTGCATAAAGGGACTCCACTAAATATTTTCCCCAAAAGGCTAAATATCAAAGCAAATTTTCATTTCCACATATTAGATAGTCAAACATTCCAATAGAATTGGCAGATTCTTTAAAACCTAAGACTATGGATTTTACTGAGCATAGTACGTCGATAAGAATATAAAATACATTTAGAAAAAATGGTCATATGAAAGCAGCATATTATACATAATTATAAATCGTTGTATTGAAAGGAAACAGAATTCTATTTCTGAAAGTTAACAGTGAGAAAAAAATCTGTTTTGTCCAGCACTAACATAAAAGACAATGCTCAACAGAAGAATAACACACTCACCTGACAGAAGGAATACTTGTAGTAGTTGGAGAAGCTAATATTCACATCTATAATTTTTCCAGCATTTCATTCATGCTTTAGATTTTGTTTCTCTTAGGTAAAACGCTTCATTTTACTCTGCTCCCTGTTTTCTCCAGGAGTTTTGTGTTCAAATTGTCCAAACTGTGTGAGGATTTTGTAGCTCTCCTGTATGTTGACTCCCATTATCACAACCCTGGACTTTGGATCCACCTTAACAGTCTTCCTTGATTACACTGGGACAGTCTTCCAATGTCTAATTTTGATCTTCGGGCACACAGTCAAAGGACTGAGACACCTGCAGTGATTGTTCCTGTGACAAATATTTGAAGTTGTTTGTCACAGCAAGGTGGTGCCCAGTCACTCCAGGTTACCCACAGGCATTCTTCAGCCTTGTAAAGGTACTCTTTTTAGAACTTAAGGCAGGATTTTTAGCTCTCTCATACCTGACAGCAATAGCCTGGCAAGGATTCTTCTGCTGCAACAGCTTTTTCCTAACTGTGGAGTCGTATTTCTTCAATCGCTCTCTAAGTTTCATTTTTATCTAGAAGCATCCTTTTATTTATTTGTTTATTTGTTTGTTTGCCTATTTTGTTTTGTATTTTATTTTATTATATAGGTGCATTGATCATGGCATGGACCTTTATTTTCTGACTGTGGCTGTGGAATGGAAGCAACCAATATCCACCACACATCAGAAATCAAAGAATCTAAAAGTGAGGAACTTTATCTGCTACTAAGGTGCATGCCCAGTAAGAGCTATTACTGCTCTGTTGCCTTTAAAAGTCTTGGTCTCTAGCAGAGACAAGATATTACTGATTAGCATCAGCAGGCAGCATCGTTCATGTAAGCAACAGTCCCTCCATCAGTCAGGCTTTTGCAGTGTGTGCAAACACAATGATCATTAGTAGTACAGCATTTCTGTCTGCATCTAGTACCAAGGCAAAAGATCTTCGAGCTCCATTTCCAATTGGAGACCAGCTTCTACAATTTAGCTCTAATCACATGAGTCTAACAAATCTCCCATCACAAGGTCAGAAAAGGCAGCTTAGAGAGCTTGAGGGTGTGCTATCTGCATAGACATCTCTATAATCTACTCTTTCTTTTGAGATAACTACTGAAAGAGAGAAAAAGGAAGGTAAAATACACCTAAAAGATACTGAAACTAACGTAAAGAGACTATTGATGAAGTATTTGATAGAAACTTTCATTTTATACATATGAGATACTTGTTGGAAAACCATAAACAATTTATAAAGCAGTAATTACTGTGAGCTTGTAAGGCATTCTATCAAAATCTACTTAAAATTGTTTTTTATTAGACCATGTAGAAGCTGTCTTTGCTAGGGCCTTAAAATAAAATTGCACTGGAAGAGAGTCCATTAAAAAAAAATCTATTATTGAAGAGGTTTTTTTAAGCAATGTCTTTAATCTCATTCTCTTTCTACTCAGGAGGCATGCAGCTACATTTATTTTTACATTTTTCAGTCCTTGACATAGCATAAGGTCTGACCTCAGTAGCCTTTGTTGAAATCTTCCCTTGTATTATTCTTTATCCTACCATGCTGGCAAATAGGAATCTAGACCATATCAACATGCTGTCAGCATAGAGTTATTTCTCTTCAGTCTTTTCTTTTATCCAGTAAGAGTTTGATGCACGCTTGATATAAATCTAGGAAAATAGGACCGTTTGATACATGCTCAGAATAGCAGGAGTTTTACCGCTTTGTGCTTGCCAAAAGTGTTTCCTGGAACACTTGGTGTTAACTGGCAGAGATTTGATAAGGGGAATGGAGAATAGCTGTGGGTAACTAACAGGTCAACATAAGAATGCAACAGCCCATCACTGGCTATAGATTTTTGGCTACAGTTTTTCAAAGCTAATAGAAATGAGCATATGGCTGTTACACCAGTGACAGATCTACTCCATTAAATACCTATTACAGGAATAAAGGGAAGAGAGGGAGTGGTAAATGTCATGTGACTAGGATTATGAGGTCTCTTCTGTTTTCCTAGGCAATCACAAACACATCTATTGGGATAAGGTTTTAAAGCAGTTTCCTAAATTTATGTAAACAGTTCATGTGCTTCTCTGATCAAATTGGTGTCAGTGAATGCTTTGAGGGAAAGAAAAACAGCCAATTTGAGAATACTTTTGTCATAGTTTATTCACTCTGTTTGAAAGAGGACACAAAAGAGAAAAAATTGTCACCATTAACATCTATGTTCAGCAGAACAAGATCTATTTAGAGGGATGCCTGAATGGACATTCCAATAAGAATAGCACATTGGAAGAATAAAGGAAAACATAGGATTATAGCAAAAAAAAAGCATGAAATAAGGGAGTTGGTACAGGATAAGAAAACTAGAGAGAGGCAGAGAAATAAATTTTTGGAGGGATAAAGGATAAATGACTTTTCAGCCTGCAGGACAGAAAGCAAACTCTTTCAGTATGGAAAATTCTGGGTTGAACAGTTGTATTATTTCAGAAAAATACTCAGCATTCACAGCTCTTTGTTAGAAATGTAATTACATACTTGGGCTTAGAAAAAGTGGTCTTGTCTGTCTTTTCCTATTCATTAGCCTTGTAGAACTTATTTTAGAAAGCATAGCAGTAACGCTTTGTTCTTGTTTTAAAAATGGTTTGGAAAAGGAAAATTGTTAGTGTGATGCAGGCTGCTGTTCAGCAACAAGTTTCTCAGTATTTCATGACTTTTGTCAGGGCATTGTGATAGGACATTATCCATATGGTTTAGCTCTGATACATAGAGAAGTAATTAAGATGCTTTTCCCAATAAAATGAAAGATAAAGTGATCTAGGATTATTTTACACACTAATTCCCTATAAGCAATTGAGTCCCAGAGGATCTACTGAGCCCAATGAAACCATAAGACCTCAGACTACTGTTGTTCTCTCATTGCAGCATTAAGATGTTCCTATCTCTTAATCCATCAGGAAAAATCCAACACAAAACTATCAAAGTAGCAAAGACTACATATTGACATCACATACTGCCTAGAAGCTTACATATACTCAGTAAATATTTAATGAGGGCTTCTCTTTAAATTAGTTGGAAAGGACTTTTCACTGCTTTTCTGTATTCAGATTGCTTTCATGGTCTTTTGCTCTGCATATGTACACTATTTCTAAGTACATTTTTGTTTTGATTGATAAAACTTTAGAGAGTGCCTTGGAGAGAAATGCTGAATTATTATGTCTTGAATATAGCTGGCTTTCATCCACTGCAGTACCTTTGTCATAGCCCAGTACTTCAAAGCAAATCTTTGATAATGAGCTTTTTCTTTCTTTCTGCCTATACTTAATGCAATTTCTGCTGTTAAAATTATAGCCGACATGACTTCAAGAAATTATTTTCAAATCTCTACATTTTTTTCTTGTTTGATGTGAACATCTACTAAAAAGTTTTTATTCTATTTCCCTCTGATTATTCTTTTTAATAAAACTTTTACAGATGTGCTTTTTTAACTCACATTTTTCCTCTTTTTTTGTTTTTTTTTTTTCCTTCTAGTCTGCATCTGCACTATTTTCAGTCTTTAATTGTTTCTTTTAAGGAAGTAATACTGTTCCAATCTGATTTTAAGGATGACAACCTGCATTTGAATCTCATTTTTACAGTTTGGGTACTAGTTTTAAAAGCTTCTTTCTAAGTCACTGCCATGAAAGATGTAGGCTGAACTTTCCTATAGCTAACATGAAGATTAAGATTCTCCTGAAACTTGGTGTGACCTTTTGTACTTTTGATGTGTCTTTATATTTCTGAGGTTAGCAAGATTTATATCTCTATTCCAATAGGGGGCACAGATCTGTGAGAATTAGCAGGAGATTGAATAGGTTTATTCCTTTCTTTTGATTGTTCTTATGGAAACAGTAATCTTGGGATTTTTTTTGTGTGCTATATCCTATATTTCTTAGTCTTTTTCCTGCATTTTGAGAATGTGCTTTGTTCCACTCAGCCCTTGCTTATATTTTTTTCTTTGAGAAGTCAGAGCAATTTTTATGTTGTTCATACTTCTCTATTTTTTGACTACATAGGATAAAGTAGTTCTAGCTCTTAACTAATTTATTTACTTATTTATTTATTTAGCCACTGTGTTTTATTTATTGCAGCAGCCTTGCAGATTGTTCTTTTCCAAAAATCCACCAAAACTGAGTGCCCTAAATCTTTTGGACTCACACTCAGAGATTTTGCTCTGTTACAGTACAGTTAGTCTCAAACTATATTTTTAACAATGGCTTTTGCACGTGCAATGTCTGAAATATCTGCGAATTTAATGATAAGTAATAAATCTCAGTCAAGCTCTGGCATTCACTGGGTGAATAAAAGATTGGCTAAGACCACCAGCAATGGAAGAGTTTGAAGAAGATGAAAGATTTTTGTTTTTTTCTGACTATACTCCCAGAGAATGCTACTTTATTTTTCATGTTATATTCAAAACAAATTATGATTCAAAGTTTCTGTAAGATTTTGTGAACAGAAATATTAATATGTTCATCAGAAAAGTCTAAGTTGGCAGCATGTCTTCTTCTCTTTTCTTCTCTTTGAGGGATAAGTATTTGGGGCTTACTTTTTTTTTTTGGTAAGCATGTATAAAAAAGAAGAACCAAAATTATTCTCTTATAGAGTCAAAATCTCAATTCTATAATTTCCACTAACATTGTCAGCTCTTTCTGGGTCACATGGATGCTGCCTTGCCAGTTGATAAATCCTGGGGAGATTGTTAGAATATAAATAGTACTTTTGCATGACAAATCTGATTTTGCTACTGAAAAGGAAAGATCATCTGGTCAGAGCTTGTCTGATTTGATCTGAAGAACTAAGCAAGATGACTTAGAGGTTGGAATTTTCAAAAGAGGAGTTTTCAAAAAATACAAATTGATCCAGGAAACTACTGATACAACACCAGAGTACAATTTGCGTGTAGTGCACTATGGTGTAACGAGTGAAGCTGTGGGGGGGACTCTTCTACTGTTGGGAGAAATGCTTCTGTAATCAGAAGTGTCCATCATTCACACTGAAGTCTGCTTTCCTTAAGCAAAATGATTGACATGAATAATTTTGATGCAGACCTGAGAGCTAAGGTTTCCTCTGCAGTAGATGCAATAACTCTGTTTTGATGCTAAATTCTTCAGTTTAGCATCTTCCATCTGAAATCTTCAACAAAATATTAATAAATTAATAATCACTACAACCTGTCATTAAGAGCTACACTTGTTACTATTTTACAGCAGAGAACAATATGGTACAGATGAGATACATCCAAAAATTCAAATACAGCATACAGCAAAGCAGGACTAAATTGTGAACTTCTTTAGTCTTTGTACATTAAGCAGATTTCTAATAGAAATATGTTCTGTTCTTTATGCTTGATACTATTGTTGCACTTCTTGCATTTCCTAATATTCAAATGGTAGTTCTTTCAAAAACTTCTCCAAAATGGCTCATTTATGCTCATTTTTCTTTATTTGTAAATAATGAAATAGTAATTTCATTAAATGGGGGAAGTATTATAGAAATTCTGTTCCTTACTCTTGACATCGTGTATTTTAATCTCTGTAATATTAAGGGGAAACAGGGTAGAAAAAGTCTAAGTCTTTCCTGATGAAAATCAAACATAATTTACTGCAAGGAGAAACATCCAGTAAACAGCTGCTAGTTCAGAAAATACAAAATAAATAATTTTACTTGGCTGTGTAAGTATCAGAAGTATGTTTTTGTTTGTTTTTTTCTTTAGTTATAAAAAAATTAATCCATTGAATCTCCATATTCCAAACTATTAAACAAAGTTCCACTGTAAATCAAACATTTCCTGAGTCACTCTTTCAAATGTGTTTGTTTTTTTTTTCTCTGTGTGGAGGTTGTACCCATTTCCAGTACTGTCATTTTGATAAATGTTCACTCTGTGCCCACAATCCTGACTACTTTTCTGCTTTCAGCATCTACATAGACCAATTCTCAGCTCCACTATCTTCCTTCAACTGTTCATCAACATCTTGAAAAACAAATCATACCTGACCTGTAATTGTTAGATGTAGTTAAATAATGTTGGAATCCTGTATATGATTTTTACTCTGTGATAAGAACTCATTAGTTACATAGGTCTTAACTTTCTCTAGTTTTTTGTTTGTTTGTTTTGTTTTTGTTTGTTTGTTTTTTGTGTTCTTCCTCACTTCCATGCTGGGCTAAAATCAGAAAGAAATATAGTAAAGATATCACAATAGGCAGAAATAATTACATACATATAGAAATATTCTGTATTCAAATACAGATAAAGCCAGTCCAATCACAAAGCAAGTGACAGATAGAAGACTATCTTTCAGTCTATATGAGTGTCATGAGATTTAAGACAAAGTTTTGTTAATCATATGTAACTCAATGCCCTGATGCTGAAATATTTTCTCTCCCTCTCTCTTCTTAAAATGTTCAACTTTGATCTCTGTTTCTAATCATTTTTTCCTATTTCTCTTCATCACTAAAGCCTTTGGAAACAACATGGTTTACAGCATTAACTCATAGTCTCTTTCAAATTCAGAAAGCCTTCCCACTAGCATAGGTTTTGTCTAATTTTTAGTCTGAACAATTTGTAGGAAAATTTCAAGCATTCTCTTTACACTGTTTCCATCTCGTAATTTCTCTTGGTAATTTTTTTTTTTTTCATGCTACACACTAAATGCAGTTTTTAAAATCTTATCTTCCTCTGGTCTGAATCCATTCCCATATCTTTCAAAGTTCCTCTAGTCTCTCATTAGGTAAGCACCTTTTTTCTTCTTTTTTATCTAACAGACATACACCACACTTTGTTGCTTAGTTTACATTTTTCTTGTACTTGAAGAGCAATTCACAAAACTTTTTTCTGCTCCTGCCCTCTCTCACTCTTATTTGCATTTAGCATATGTTTTTCCTATCCTCTTGGAAAATATCCATGGAGTAGAAATGGACATATTTTTATGTGCATGGTAGTGTGATGATCAGAGGTCATTGCATAACAGCAGCATTTACAGACACTAGTACATGCAATAGCAGCATGATAGAACATCTATTACCAAAAAGAAACTGGAAATGGTTAACTGTGACAGATTCTTTCTCTTCCCTTGCAGAATTTGTGCCTCTCTTTTGAAAAGAAATACCCTTTTTCTCCACTGGTATCTGTTGAATAATACTCTCCAGGCTAAACTGTCATTTAGTCCTTTTAATGAATACAATCTCTAATATATATATTTTTTGTCATTTAGCATATTTGAACGTACAGGATTTAAGCATATAACTCACATCAGCTGCATTTTACATTTTTGCTCTTCATGAAGTGGCTGAATGACTTTGAGCTCACTACTAGTGTTGTTTTTTTTTTATAATTTGGGGCACATTTTTAATTGATCCCTAAAGGATTGTTCCAAAAGCCCTTCCTTTTTCCCAAGTGCCAATAATACGGTGACAAATCATACTGTTCACTTGCTTGTTTCCATCGCTGACAAAAAATGTACTTCATAATTTATTCATCACCTCTGGTTGCTGACTTCTAATTAACAATCATCATTCTAAATAAACATAGTAATATTTTAAGTAGCAATGAAAGTTATTATTATTATTATTAAGCAATTACTGATAAGCCTTTATAAGTCATGTTCATGTAAATTGTTGTTATGAGCTGTTTCATCAGAAGACGTGATAAGATGCTTGACAAAATTTTGTAGTACAACTGTTGGAAGTTTAAGTAAATAAAAAGCTCTGTGCAACTTCACAACTTCAGTTCATTGAAACTATATCACTGGGAACCAGATGAAAGAGGTCAGGGAAAAACATTGGAGTGCATTGGTCCAGGAGTGAGAAGATAAGATGCAATCCACTCCCTGTTACCTAACCTGCACTGAATCTTGAGATGTTGTTTTGTTCTTCTGCTTCAGATATTACTATCTGTGTAGAGAATATATCCATACATCTCTTCCTCCTTTTTGAGTTCGTCAAGTAAGTTTTGTGAAAGCTTCTTTGAATACGATAGAAAAGACATAACTGGGAGAAAAGATAAATATATATTTTCAACATCTAACGTGTTTCAAAGTACCTCCAAATAATAAATAGAAAGAAAGAAATTGAAACTAGGCTAGTGAACATGTCTTTACCATGCAGGAAAATTTGATTACTGTTTGACACATGTAAATGCAAATATTTTCCCCTAATGTGTCTGTATTTTTGTCATTATATTCCATCCCCATATTCCACTCCAGATAAACAATGTAACGGGATGTCAATATAGGCATCACATTGTCTAAGTCTTTGAATAATCAGAAAAATTAGCATTATAAAGTAAACACATGTGCATTTCTTATACCACAAGTCTGACTACCAAATATTTTCTGAGTCACATAATCATTCAGCCTCACAATACCTGTTGCTTTTTGACATGACCTACTGAGTACTTGAGTTTTCTCTACGCCCTGCAATTATTTCTCTCTCTCTCTCTCTGTCTTTCATTTTTTTTTTTTTTTTCTAAAGATTACTGGAGTAGTTCTACCACTAACAAAATCAATCTTAGAACCTGGTTTGCCACTCTCCTAAGGGAGTACATTGGCTTTCAGGTGTTTGGAGACATTTCATTTAATTCTGTCTCAAAATACAGCATGGTCTACAATCAGTTTCCAACTGATCAAAGACTTGAATTGCCAAAAACATCCTTTCTGGAGCATGAAATACAAAATTTAATCCAATATCTTTTCTCTCTGTAAAAAAAAGTAAGATTCTTTCTCCCTATTACTATAAATATAGATGTATTTACTATATTCACGGCTAAGACTTAGTGAACTGTAGAAAATGAAATTCAACTTAAGTTTTAAATATTTCAGTTTTAATAAGAGAAAAGCTACTTGATTGAAAATAAATAAATAAATAAATTGTACTGATTTTAGCATCATTCTATCAAAAGCCCTATTTTTTTTCTTTTTTTTTTTTTTCCTATGTACTCTACTTGGAAGCACTTTGAATATAGACTGAACTCTGTTAATGGGGGGTCATTTATGAGTTCTATTGTTAGCTCTGGAAGTTACGTATAAGATGAAAAGTATCTTTAGACTTTTTAATCTGGAGGTCCCAAATCTATAGAAGTGAACTTGTAATTTATACTATGCAACATGCAGTTCAGTCTTAGATTCTTGATGACAAACATGTAGAGGAAAAACATTAAAATACAATTTCTTGAACATTCTTTTTATACAGAGAATGAGAATGGCCTGGAAAAACATCATTATTGAAGACAAGTTAGTAACATTTCATAGTTAATTTCAAATAATTTTAGTATCCTTCTGTTGATTCTCAGTCTTGAATATAGTCAGATCCCCTCTGATGCACTCTGAAGAACAGATCCACTGAAATAAATAAAAGGTGCAGAGAATATGAGTCTTATAAATTATTGCTATCTCTCCGTCATTTGCTATTTATTTATTTATATATTTGTTTGTTTATTATAGATAACAAAACCTGAATCAGAAATACTTTCATGCTATAGGAAAATACTTCATGGAAAGCATGTTTTTAATCATTCTGGGGAACATGATAAATGATCTTTCCTTTGACAGTTATAACTGGGGCTTTGCTTTGCTGCTCTGTAAGTTTTTAGTTTCTAGAACCAGAGAAATAGAGCGAACAATCAAAATTTATCAGGAAGTGAAATAAATCAGGAATTATTTTAAGTGTCACTTGTTTCAGGTATCATGGGGAAACTCAGTTTTAACCTATAGTCAGTGTTGCTAATGATACTGCTTTATTTTCACTAAAATTATCTTAAAATTAATTATTTTGCATTCATAGAAAAATAATTGATATGTGGTGTGGAAATGAACCTTCTAAAATTCATAGCTGAGGCACAGATAGGCAGCATGACCTAATAGCAGTAAAATGAGATAAAGCAATGAGATTTGCATTAAAATAAAAGTGGAAGATTTTTTTAAAAATTGTTATAGAAGTAATTTGCAACTGTTCTGTTCCTTACAATTAAAAAAAAAAACTTGTGAACAAATTGGAGAAGAATTTGAAGATGATCAGAATGCTGAAGAACCTGCGCTATGAGGAAAGAGTTGGGTCCTTTCACCCTGGGGAAGAGAAGGCTCCTGGAGAATCTTATTATAATTTGCCAGTAGGTAATTGGTGGCTGAGAGGACAGCAATTCTCATTGCAAAAGGAGTCACATAGAGAAGATAAAGAGCAATGGGTACGAGCTTTACCAGGAGATGTTTTGTCTTGATTTTAGAAAGAAACATTTTAAATTAAGAATCAATAACTTAAACAACCTCCTGAGAGACACTGTTGAGTACATGTCACTTGAAGTTTTCAAAGATAAGGCGGATAAGGAAATAATTGGATAATTGCAGCCTTTATATCAAGGTGGAGGCCGGTGACAAGTGGTGTCCCCAGAGGGTCCATCTTGGCATTGGTGCTCTTTAGCATCTTTATCACTGATAAAAATGATGGGCTTAAATGCAGCCTCAGCAAGTTTGCAGATGACATCAAGCAGAGTTGTACAGTTACTACAGCAGAAGGAAGGGATGCCATCCAAAGGGACCTTGACAAACTTAAAAAGTGGATCCATGTAAACCTAAAAAGGCTCAAAAAAGCCAAGTACAAAGTGTTGCAATTGGGTTGGGAAAATCCCAGATACATATACAGACTGGGAGTAGAACTTACTGAGTAGAACTCACTGAGTAAAACGATTCTGTGGACGACTTGGGGATCCAGTTGGATGAAAACCTAGACATGAGACAGCAGTATGCTCCTGCAGCTCAGAAGGCCAAATGTATCCTGGGCTGCACCAGAAGAGGAGTGGCCAGCAGGAATAGGGAGATGATTGTCCCACTCCACTCTGCACTTGTGAGGCCCCATCTGGAGCACTGTACCCAGGCCTGGGGGCTGCAATACAGGGTTGATACTGAGATTTTGGAGAAAGTCATGAAGAGAGCCATGAGGATGATCAGAGAGCTAGAGAACCTAGAGAGATAGGCTAAGGAATCCGAGCTTGTTCAGTCTGAAAAAGAGAAGGCTCCAGAGAGACCTTATTGCAGCCTTCCAGTGTTTAAAGAGAGATTATAAACAGGAGGGAAATCAAGTTTTTACATGGGTAGATAGTGAGAGGAAAAGAAGGAATGCTTTTAAATTGAAGGAGAGGAAATTTGGGTAAGATGTATGGCAAGTTTTTTACAAAAAAACTTGTGAGGTGTTGGAACAGGCTATCCAGAGAAGCTGTGTATATCCCAGCTCTGGAGGTATTAAAGGCCACGCTGGGCAACCTCATATAGTGCTTAATCTAGCAGGTGGCAGCCCTGCCTATGTCAGGGGGGATGAAACAAGGTTATCTTCCATCCCAAGCCACTCTAATGCAATTGACCAAGGGGTTAGATAACCTCACCTTGACTCCCTTTTCCCATGGATCTTTCAAGGTCCATTTCAACCTATTACATGATTTCACAAAATTTGCAATTTGTTCTCAGGTGCTTGATTCTATTCAGTGGTTTCAGAACACAGCCTTTACAGGAGCTGATGCCTTCTAGATATCAGAGCTCCTGGGAACCAGCAGCCTGGGGAAGCAGGGAGCCTCATGGGAGATGAAATTGAGTAAGGGAATTAAATAATTGATTTACTGAATTACAGTACTGTTTCAATAGAAATAATTATTTCTGCTCTATTGCAGTTCTTAAAAAAATCTACCCAAAACATTATTAAATAATGAGATTTTGAAGATAACATTACCTATAAAAGCTTGACCTTTCATTAGTTGCACGAAGAGGCAGTAGAAACATCTCCAAAGCTGAGTTCTAAGTTCATTTTTAATGACAAGTGAAATAATGGATTCCTTAATCTCACTTAGGCCCTGTTTTAGCACTGCAAGTGGTTCAATAAATATGCTTAATCTGTCCTAAGTCACAAGTTTTAAAAGTACAGCACAGTGTATTCATTAAGAAACTTTTCTTTTGACACTTCTTGTATCTTTGTAAAATATTTCTGAACAGATCTGTATAACTAGAATCTATTTTTTTTCAGATCTTTTTTGTTGAACCATATTATGCATTAATCTATCTGGCATGAACAATAGCACTGTTAACTTCTTTGCAGAGCAGTAAACAGTGATTTGTTGTTTTACCCACCTCAAAACCATATGCGAAAGAAACAGTGATGTGAAATGTAGAAAAGTATGGTTAACAACTTAATAATCAGGATGTCAACATCCCATATCATAGAAATTGGATTGCACTATTACAATGTAGAATGTAACTATACAATTTAAGATAACTTCAGCATAATTTCTGACATTGTCAATTTTTCTCCATCAAAACAGAACTCCAACCATCCTTGTCAAGATTACATACAAACAAGTGTGTTGAAGCACGTCTACTTTTCCCTTGCCAGTAGATACCTGAATTATGGATTTTTGTCAGTTAGCATGCCCAATCTAGTCATGCATAATGTTTGTGTTAAGGTGTTGATTTGGGTTTGTAAAACCTAGCTCTGCATAAAGTAATTCTAACTGTGGCCATGCTGAGATAGAGAAAAGCAACACAAAGTTATTTGTAGGCATAAATATGAGTTCTAATAAAAGACCATTTAGTACTAATAAAAAGAGTGACATTCTTTTTACTCTAACTTGAAACAAAGCTACTTAGTTACAAGAGAAAACACATCAATTATTGATGTATGAATATTCTTATTTTTAAAGTAGAATTATTCCCTATTCATTAGCATTTATCCAAAAGTTATTAATTTTAATATGCATTTGGGTGGTGGTATTTGAATTGTAAATAATTCTGCATTCTCCACAATTTAACCACATTTTGCATATTCATGAAACAATTTAGTCGAAAGATGTAGCAGGGCATGCATCGCTTTGGGACATAGTCACATTAGGTAATTATGTGGTACTGTGCTGCCTATGGCATCACCTACTTCATTTAGCACCCAACAATGTGAAAGAACCCATGCACCAGTGTCTCATGTAATTGAGATGAAGAGACCCCAGTGAAAGCACTTAAAGAACATATTCAAGTTAATAAATTCACATATGTTAATATAATCTTTATGCAAAATAATCAATCATAGAGATACATAAGTAAAACCATGACCAGAAAACACTGAATATCTTCGTTTCAGTATTTTATTTTTCTCTGTGCTGAGATACTAATTTCTATATTCTACACAATTTATTTGTTGTGTAAATGATTAATATCTAGAATGGTAGGTGGATATTTAAAAATATCTGACAATGAAATAAAAACATCACATGACTTAAAAATAGTATGAGGAAGAATGTGGAGGACAAATTGTTTCATGAAAATATCACTTAGTATTGCAAAAGAGTTGCATTATGTCCAGATAAATGTAAAGGACAAGGCAACAGACATATTTAATGCTTCCAAAATTAATAACAATTCTAAGTATGATGGTTAGACAAAGGAGAGTCAACTCAGAAGGAAGCAAGCTCTCATAAAAAAAGTCTGAAAAGTCAAAAACGTCTCATCAATGCTATGAAAAAGCACTCAAGTTTTGAGCTTCTAGTGGAGTTGTAAGGCAAGTAAGCCATGTACAAGATGTAATGATACATCAGGAAATGTTTTCCCATATCATCTAGATGATCCCCACAATGGCAAATGTGGCCAGCCAAGTAGAGCCCATCACTGATTAGGGCTCTTAATGTGTTAGTTAGCAACAATTTAGTACTGAGCACTATGGTCTTGCTAAATGTTATGATTATTTCCTAGCAATCCTCAATGTTCCTGTTTATTTCTATTGTCTAATCAAAGCTAAAATTTCAATAACAACCTGCAGTAAATTAAATGAAGATTTAAAAGTACTGTCTCTAAAAAAGGTCCATGACAATGCACAAAGTAACAAAAAATACAGAAATATTTCATTTAGAACAGCATTTCTGTTTATTTCTTCACTCTAGACTTGGTTAATGTTACATGTTTTCTTATGATAATTTTATTATGTTATAAGGGCTGCTCAGACAGTATGGCTCCTATTTTATTATGTTGGATGACAACGTCAGAGGCAGATATTAGTGATATGCCAGTAAAGGTTAAATTTTCCCTCCAAAAATCTGTTACATTTTGTTGTTCTGTGACAAACGTCAGCAGAGGAGTGGTGTGCTTAATTCATGTCTGACATGGAAATTCATATGAAGCAAAGGTCTGCCATTGAATTCCTTCATACAGAAAAGATGGATCCCACTATCATCTCTGATGCTTGTTGAACAGTTATGAAGACCAACCAGTGAAAGCAAGCACAGTGAAGGGGTGGGTGGTGTGTTTCAGCAGGGAGAACAAGAGTGGGTGAGCTCTGCTTGTGTAGATTTGTACCAGTAATACTGGTGACAATGTAA